GTGCTTGGAAACACTTTGAAGGAGCAGAGTAGAAACCAGTGGTCCACGGATTCATCCAGTTGGACTGCATCCAGCTTGGTACCATGTGCCCAGCCTCCCAGAGGTGAGTACAAGTTCTGCCACACTCATATGGTCTGAAGAAACCCCTCAGCTCCAGCCAGATTTGGCAGAGCTCCCGGGAAGCTTGGCACTGCTCAGAGCTCTAACCCTAGCAGCATTTTGTAGGAGGAAGTCTGCTGTGAGCTCTGGGATGCATTCATAAGGACTCAAGTGTAACTTCAGATGTATTCCTAAGGTGCAGGGTGGCTCACAAGTTCACAGTTCCTTCCAGATCCCATTGGCACGATCAGCAATCTGCTAACATCGGTCTCTACCACTGAACTCATAGCCAAGGAGTCGGGTTGGAGAGCTCTCTGTTCTCCACCTCAAATTTTTGCCTCACAAGCCTTTTGTTTCCAAATTCCTTCCAGTGATGCAGTTCCTCTGGGAACAGGTATTAGATTTAAAGTCTTTCCTTGGGAGTTACAGGATAGATACTATTCTCTTCTACTGTTTGAAACTAATGTTTTAATCCCTGAGATTTATTTCTACTTGATATATATCTTTCTAAGTCTTTAGGTACGATACAGGATAAGTGAAGTTTAACAGGATGGGATGTGGGAAGCCCTAGGTTTAGGATAAGACTAAATGCTGCACAGCCTAGGAGGCAAGCGACACCACGGAGTACCCAGGAGCAACAGATTCTCAGGCTGAGCAGAGGAGAATCAGAGATCAAGCTGCTATGCACCAAACCTGAGGACCTGCACCAACGGTATGATTGTTTTTCTTTTTGTCAGCCAGCAAAGCAACATCTAAGGCTCCTCTCTCAGTCTAGAGGAGGAACAGTTTCCCTGTGCTGAATCCCTTGTTTGCTGGCAAACTCACCTGCCTAAATGCCTAAGGTACAATCACTTGCTTTTTTCCATCTCTCACACTTTCCTGCCTTCTTTCTTCTCTTCCCTTCCCTTCTCTGCCATTCTTTCCTCCACCTCTTCCTTCCTTTTCCTTTCTTCTTCCTTCTCCTCCTTTTCCTTGTCATTCTTCCCCGCCCCCTGCAAAGAGCCACAAACATGTGTTGTGTGTCTGTTATAAAGCTCACATTTTCACTTTTTCAATCTTCCAAGCAACCCCACAAAACCTCTTATTCTACTTCTATCGATGAAATGAAGCTCAGGAGAAGTTGAGAAACATCCTCAAGAAAAGGCCTACTGAGCCTGCAGGTGATGGAGATGGCACCTTTATTTAACAACACTACACCTCAGGTCCTTTTCTAATACTACAGTATGTCTTAAATGTAGCCAAAGAGCTTGACTCATGATAGAACACAAAGGATGAAGTCCTGGCTGGGACCCCACGAGACACAAGAAAGGAGAGGCAGAGGCTGAATGGGTTCTGGAGGCCAATTCCACTCCTGTTTCCGCAAAAGTACTTGGTTTCATACCATCCTCCTCTGTCTGTTCCCAGACTAAAATAAAATAAAATTGCACCCACCCCAACTTAATGCCTTGGGTCCACAGATGAACAATTTGGTATAATTTTGCTTTGGTGAGAGGTGCACAGCCAACCTTCACTTCCCCAGGTGGGCGGTGAGGGTGAGTCCAGAAACACCTGTGCAAAAAGGCAGAGGCAGGTAGAATTCCTCTCCCCAACAGTGGGGTACATGGGAGAACACCTGTGTGTGGTGCCAGCTTTCCATCACTATCGCTAAATACTCAAGGTGATTCACTTACAAGAGAAAAGGGCAATTTTGGTTCACAGATTTGGATGTTCCAGTTCAAGGGCAGATAGACCCACTGCTTTGGGCTTCAGATGGAAATCACATAGTACATGGTGGCGTCAACTGCTTACCATGTGGCAGGAAGCAAAAGAGGGAGGGAGAGGCAGCTGGGGTCCCACAGTTCCCTTCATGGGCACCCACCATGGCTTATAAAGGCCTTTTGATCGATAGGCTCCTCCTCCTACAAACAGCACCTACCTGAGAGCCCAGCTTTAACACCTGGGACTTTGGGGGACACATGTATCCCAGTAACAATAAAATAACAATAACAAGAGTGTCTCTTGAGGAGGAGGAGTTGCCAAATGCAAAGTGGGAGGAATGCTTCCCACAGATGTGGCAGATTTAGGGAGATCAGTAGCCAGCAGCAGAGAGAGGCAGCCACAGCCAACTTCTGGCTACAGTGGAGTGATTGCAAAGTCAGAGCACTGCACTGTGACATATTCCTTTTATGCTGTTTAAATTTTTTTTCTTTCTAAGTTCTTTTATTGGTACGTTTTAGGTATACAATTCATTTACATTTATCACTGGGTGCTTGTACCTGTACATGATGCATCTTGGTTATTTTTTCCCTACTACCTGTGCACCCTTCATGCCCTCCTCCCTTCCCTATTTACATAGACATCATTTACATTTTTTTTCTTTTCTCATAGTTTTTCCTTTCCCTCTTTTCCTTTCCCCTTCCCCTCCCTTCACCCCTTCATCTTTGGACCTTTTTTCCTATTTCAAATTGTCAATTATTCATTTTAATCATTTTAACCCTTGTTTACACTATCAGTTGCTGTTTAAAACTTTAAGAGTTGAGTCACATGGAATTTCTAATCTTCCCCAAAGAGGTTAAGACATCATGCTATAGTGATACATGCATATCTGTGTTTATAACAGCATAATTGGTAATAGCTAAATCCTGAAAACAGAGTGTATACCCATCAACAGACAACTGGATGAAGAAAATGTGGTGGCTAGAAAGGACAAATTTGAGACATTTATAGGAAAATGGATGCACCTAGAAAATATGTTGAGTGAAAGAAATCAGACACACAAACTTAAATACCTTATGGTATCTCTCATCTGAGTAAGGCAAAGTACAACTAAGAGAAAAGCAAAAGAAGGACAGAGCGAGACAAGGAGCTGGCTCTCTTGAAGATGGGGAGGGGGTCCGGGAACCAAGGGCAAGAGGGAAGGGGAAGGGGATGGGGAAATAGAATGAAGATATGACAGGTATGAGGTCCTCATAACCTCAAGGAACTTGGACATTGTATGTCATAAATATGAATTAAGATCGACAATATCAACAAGAATGAAAAGAGAGAAAGGTAAACTAGGGGAGGGAGGGGGAGGGAAGGGGATTAAAAATGAAACAATCTATATTATGTACAGGTACCACCTCCCCAAGATGATTGTAAAACGCATGTACTGCAAACATGTACTAATGAAATAAAAAAAAAATTCAGAGTTGTTTTCTAAAAGGTTTTCAGGAAACCTATGGGAGGGGGGCAGATTTCTACCAGTTCTGAGCTTTAGGAAGCTGTGGTTTTCCTTCTGAAAACTTGTGTCTGTATGGTGTTTCAGGAAAAAATGGAAGAGGGAACATGAGGGTCAGTGGGAGCCCAGAAAGGTGGCCTTTCTATTGCTCTCTATGGGTTCCTCCTATCACTTTGGGAAGAAATGTCGATTTGCTTAGATCTTGATCATTGACCCTCTAAACTCAAAGGGCAACGAGGTCCTCGGCTGTCTGTCACCAGGCAGGCTTCCCACCCCAGGGACTCCCACTCTTAGGGCTTTGGCTTCCTTTTACCAGGAGCAATCCTGGGACCATGGGACAGGACTACTTAAGAATTTAGAATCCCTGGGCAAGATATAAACAAACTTCACTCCTTGAAATCCACTGGCCCTCCCTGGAAGGGGTTTGAGCTTGTCTTATAGTAAGGACATAAAGGCAGAAGGGGAAATGTAGTCGTCAGCACCTGTCACCCCATGAGGCTTTGCAAACATCCATGATGCCCAGGTTCACTTTCTGGGCATCTCAGTGAGGCCGAGCTCGGGCAGCCTGCACTGGACTCACCATACACCAGGCCGGGGAAGGGCCCTCCTACCCTGTGACCTAGTGGGGCTTTACTTTCCCTTTGAAACAGGACTACAGGACGGTGGGCTCACGGATGTCTCCGGTTCCAATCCACGTTTCCACGTGGACTCCTGGAAGTACAACCCAGTTCTGCAGGGCTATCAGTGTATGTGAGTGTGAGTGTGTGTGTGTGGTCACGTGCCCGTTAGCCACCCCAATCTGAGTACCCATGAAACTGGCACCGGGCAAAAAGGGAATCAATGAGCCCAGCGGCTGCTCCGCCCAACCGGGCTGCGCGCTGCAGAGCCGGGGCGCCGCGGTCACCTTCGGCGCAGGCGGGGAGTCGGTGTGGGGGGGAGGTCCCTGGCTCGCGATTCGGCTCGGCTCCTGGCGCCCTGGCCTGGCTGGTGGACTTGGCCTCTCAGGCGCCCAGCGATCGCCCCGCTCGGGCCCGCCCCCAGGAGCGCGCAGTCGCCAACGTGCGCCCAGCTGGCGCGGTGGGGCAGCTCCCGGCCCGTGACGCGGCGGGACCGAGGCCATGCGCGCCACCGAGCCAGGGCTGCAGGCCGGAGGGCGGCGTGCAGGTGAGGACAGAGCCAGTCCTGTGCGGGGTCTGCTTTCTCTTCCTCGCCTCCCTCCGGGCAGCGCAGATACCCGCGGGGCTGACTGGGTCGCCGGGGGCGGGTCGCGAGCCACGTGCGCGCGCGTGTGCGGTTCCAGGTGCGTCCGTGGCGCCCCCAGCCGGGCCGGGGCGCGGAGCTGGGACCTGTCCGCGGGCGCAGGGCTGAGGTGGGAATGGGGTGCGCGTGCCGGGGCAAAGAAGCATCACGGTGTGGGGCAAGTTTCCCGGGTTGGAATCGGCATCCGAGGCGAAAAGTGAGGTGCAAAGCTGGGCAGACCTCAGCGGCTGGCTGAGCCGGTTCCCCCCGCGAGGGTCGGCTGTGGAATGGGACGGGAGCGGTGTTTCGGGGAGATCAGGCTTCCAACTTTGCCCACGGGCACCGGGACCCGGGCCTGGCCGGGGTGCTCGGGCTCGCGTGCTCGTTCCCGCCGCCCTCCGTGCTCCCGGAGCTCCGGAGCCACCCGAGTGACTCTGCGCGCGCGGCAGGGGAGCAGAAGGCTCCGCGGTGTTCCCGCAGCTTTCCCAACTCTAATCGAACTCAATCGGGTGTCGTTTTGCCGGGAGACCGTGTTAAACGATTGTCTGCACAGTAGGGAAGGTGCTCTTTTCAGTGGGGATTAAGTAGCTTTTGGCAAAGTCCTCAGGGGAGGGCAGAAATCCAGTCTGCGAGAGAGGAAACAGACTTTGCGCCGATTTCTCCTGTGCATGCGGCGATTCGACTGGAGTCGGTGGGGCCCTGCGTCCGCCCTGTGGCTGTGATCCGGTTTGGTTTTTGGGCTCTGCCGCGATTTAATGCATGACACGAAGAGTTTCCGGGAGGAGCTGTGGCCCCGTCTGTGCCCCTTTGTGCACCCAGTCTTCCAGCAGTCGGTGCATGGCCCATCCTTCCCGTTTGTGTGGTCCCGGCGTCCCCGCAGCCTTCCCCGCCTAGAGCTGTCAGCCCTGCCGCGGCCGCGCTGCCCCGATGAGCAGCTCATTGAGAGTCTGTAAACAATTTTCAGGGATTGTGGAAACCAGAGAAGTGGGTAAAGCGAGTAGGGTGCTGGAGTTGTACAACCCTCTCGAATGGGCTCGCTTCTTGTGTATCCGAGGGTAGCGTGCCTGAGAGTGGCGAGTCTGCAGAAAGAGCACATTCAGAGATTTCCTTAGCTCGCCGGAGCCTGGAGGGAAAGCTTCAAATGTCTGGTAAATAAAGTCTGATTTTTATTGTGTATGTCTGAGAGACTTGTATAGATTTGGGATTGTGTGAAGATAAATGTCAGTTGCTGGGGAAAAGAATAGATCAAACAGTTCATTTGCATTTCTGATGAGCTTAGTGAGGCGGTGTTGTATAGCACTTAATACCCGGAAGAGAGACAAAGACTTCTTTGTGGGTGTTTTGTTCCGTTTGAATTTTAGATATGTAATGTCTTTTCTTCCCCCTGGCCAATGCTACAGGAAAAATTGATGTGCCTTTCCAGCCCCTGAAAGCTGCTGTGTTTATTACCTCTCTGATATTTGGCCTGAAACGCACAGCCCCTGGGAAGTCCTCTCTCCTCTGTCCCCAGCACAGAGACCTGAGCTGGGGGGTTCTCAAGCAGGAGCCCCATTGACTGATGTGAAGCGGAAGGCAGCTTGCCAGGATGGCTGTGCTGCAGAGCAGGATCCATCCAAAGACAGGAGAGGGAGGGGAGGCCGGGCTCCTCCAGCCACAGCCAGCCGGGAAAAGCTCCAGATCCCTCTGTGGACAGCTTGCTAATACCCGCTGATGAGCTCTGCCCACTGACATTCAGATGTTTGTTTTGGGAGCTTACTCTGCCTAATCGGTGTAAATTAAGGAGGAAAAGAAAGAGGGCTTCTAAGTTTAAGGCAGAAGAAGCAGGTGGCTCCTGTTTTAGGCAAGCTTCTCACTCACTATGTGACCTTGCTAACTTACTTAACTTTCTCTTACATTTATTTTCCCATATACAAAATGAGAGAGCATCAGACAAGATTATCGAATCCTCCCTTTTCCCTTTCTCTGTCTTTTAGAAGTTCAAAGCCCTTTAAATTAAATCTCGTATGTGAGTTAAGGATGTGGAGCTAAGGGGGGGGGTTGTGGTAGCCTTGTCACACCTGTGCTGTCTGAAGCACCCCTGAGTATACAGTTTGAGACTCACTGCAAGGCCTCTCTCTGGACTATGGCACGGTCCCTTTTTGAGTGCTTCCAATGAAAGGTTGCAGTCAACTGGTTCTGTGTTATGATGTGTCATGGGGCTTTCACCTGTACTGGCTCCCTGCAATGGCAGCTCCAGGACCCACTGAGTTGACTAAAGCACCTCGTGTGAGTAGGTGCTTAATAAGTGCATGCTGGATGGGCCAGGAATGAAAAGGGAGTGAGAGTATTTTGGCTGAACAGGACCAGCGCTGGATCCATTATGTTGTGGATGGTAGCAGTGTGGGGATTTGGTTTCATTTGTGCCAGTGCCTGGAACAGTAGCACAGGGGGAAAAAAAAGTAAATATTGTAAATTAACCCTGGGCAAGACTGCCCCAAGGAAAGTAGGTTATACATGTGTGGTCGTTACCAACTCTGCATGAAGATTTTGGCTCCTTCTTCTGATGCATAGTAGGGCTGCATTTCTCTGCTCATTGCAGTCAGGTGTGGCTACACGGCTCTTCTGGTCAGAGAAGGTGTGAGTCTGCAGGTGCCTGGCCATGTGCCCTGGTGGCAGGCACAGCTCAGGGGGACTTCTTCCTCAGCAGACATGGAAGGAGCTTCTGGATGGTCCACTTGGACACACAGGTGTAGATGAGGAAGAAGCCATTGGGTTTGAATCTGTCATAATCTGGGGATTGTTGCTGCAGCATATCCCAGCATGTGTTGCCTGCTGTAGCATGTGCAGAACTGAGGCTAATCCCCACATGGGTAGCAGAAATGTCTGGGAAGGCCTGTGGTTGCTGAAACAGGACTTCATGTGAACACCACAATGAGGCAGGTGCTTGTCACTGTGACTGGTTGGAGAAAAGACACAAGATATCCCACAGCCTGATGGACAAGCTATATATAATATGCTAGTGTAAGAGTTTAGTGGGAAGAGGAATCTGATAAACATGTGCACTGATCAGGGAGAAATGTCCATTAAAGCCAGATAGTAAGGACACCCTGTGTTATGAGCCTGGAACTAAAGCTAGGGCCTTCAGCGGAATGACAGTGACCAGACAGTGTCATACACAGCTGTGGCATGCTGACAGATTCTTCTTATCCCTTCAGAGTGGACACATGTCACGCAGCACTGTACCTCCAGCATAAAAAGCTGAACAGGTTCACTGCAGGACTTCCTGGGACTGTTAGCATTTCCTGTAACCTCAGCTGCCAGAGGTCCCAGACCTGACCTACAGGACAGCCCAGCGTGAAGGCTGTACCCTTTCTACCCGCCCCTTGCTTTGTATGTGGCTGGACCTCCAGTGGCTCAGAAGGTGTGATGATCAGTTTGGGCCTGTAGGTAACACTGGGGTTTCCAGAAGCAACAGATTTAAGCAGGATACTAAAAATGCACATTATATGCTTACTTAAGGGGGCTTAACTAAAGGCCCAGGGAAAACAAACATGAACTGAGGGGTTCCAGAGCAACATGCCAACATAAAACAGACAAGCATGGGTAAGCCAGAACAGAGGAACTGGAAACCAGGCTGTCAGAGGCATCAGAGCCAAGGAGAGGGAAAGACCTGGTGAGAGGCATGTAGGTAGGGAGTGAGTGGTCTGGGTGCAGGTAGGTAGTTCGTGGTGTGTGCAGGTAATTGTTCATGTGGGTTGGTTTGTCAGTGGTGCCAGTAAGGACTGTGCAGTGTGGGTAGACTGTCAGAAGTGTGGGTATGTGGTAGTGGTGTGGGGTAGGTAGTGAGTGGTGTGCATAAGCACTGAGTGGGGTGGGACGGTAGTCAGTTGTGTGGATAGGCAGTAGTGGTGTGAGTAGGTGTTGGTGTAGGTAGGCAGTAGTGGTGTGGGTAAGTAGTGAATGCTGTGGGGAGTTCGCCATCCATCTATTCTGTTCCCCCTGGCCTCAGGGCCCACAGTGCTGTGTGCAGACTGTCCGCTCCTCTGGGTTGTCCTCTGCACTGCTGCTTCTCAGTACAGGGAAGCCTGATATCATTGCTCCTTTCTGTGAGGAGTCCAGCACTTGCATGGGTTGGGCAGTGCCAGTTTCCTGTGGCAGCCAAGGGAAATGGGTATTGAGTGAGGCCTTTGATGACTCCAAACCTGTCTGCAGGGGTGGGTGGTGCGTCCCTGAACCTGACATGGAGGAAGACGTTCAGTGATTTGGACTCCCTTGACCTTAGCCTGAATGCATGGCACAGTGTGGCCATGAGAGGCTCTCTGCTGAAGGGTAGAGGAGGAAGAGTCCCCTGAGCCTCGTGGATTTCAGTGCCAGGACACTTCCTGGAAGCTCTTGGGCTGATTCCGTGTCCAGGAAGAACCTGAGGTCAGCATCTCCGTGGTGTGTATCATACAGACTCCCCCAGGCCTGTGGGTACACGGCCCACACCTACATCTCTCAGGTGTCTTCCAAAGTGCAGATTTCTGGACTTGCCTCAGACAGATGAGCCAGAATCTCAAGACAGGGGCAGCCTGAAAACTGATTTTTCCTCATGTTTTACAAGCACTGTTTCAAGGTGCTGAGGAAGGGGAAGATCTGGGTTTGAGCGGGTTTCTAAGTCAGAGGCCACACCTCACAGTCCCCTCTCTGACAGCCTGGTCCTGCTGGGAAAGGCTGGAGGGACTGGGATGGAAGAGTCACCCTGCAGTCCTTGAAGAGCTCCCTTTAAAAAGGGACTCAACTTCTGCATGTCCCCAGGGCAGGGACTAGGACCAGTGGGTGAAAGGGCAACTTCTTAGAGAGGTGGACGATGTCATCGTGGGAAACAGTGACCATTTCCTGCCTCAGGAGCCATCAAGCCTAGGCAGGCACACATCGGGTAGCTGTGAGAACTGAAGAGTGGGGAGAAGGAGACGAAGTGTGGCCTTCAAGTCTTCTTCTCTTTGAGGTTCCAGGGACTGCAGGACATGTTTCAGTCTGACAAGAGTTCTTATTAACATCACCAGTTGCCTTTATCCTTTGCTGCCAGTTGATAGATGGGGCTGATTTCATCAAAAGGAGGCAGGATGCTTGCCTGAGGCCTCAAACAGGAGAAGGCAGGAAGGACATGCTTTCCTGCCTTCCCTGAGTGCACAGGTGGTTGGTTGGGACTCCTGCCCTCTGCCAATGAGCCCTGTATGAGGCAGAATAAGGGCTCCCAAAGGCAGCCAGGTCCTAATCCCCAAGACCTGTGACTGTGTTACCTTGCACAATGAGAAAGATTTCGAAGATGTGATTTTCCAGGGCCTGGATGTATGCTGGGTTATCTGAATAGACCAAATGTAATTGCAAGAACTTATACCTGGAGAAGAGGAAGCAGCAGAGTTAGAGAAGGAGATGTGGCCATCAGAGTGGAGGTCAGGATGATGTGATTGCTGGCTTTGAAGATAGAGGAAGGGACCAAGGGCTGAAGGGTGCAGGTGGCCTCTGGGAGCTGGGAGGTACAAGGGGACCCATTTTCCCCAGAGCCTGTGGAAGAAACAAAGCCTTGACACCATGGCTTTTAGAACTCATTTTGGAGCTCTGACCTCCAAAACTGTAAGATGGTAAGTCCATAGTGCTTGAGACCAATACATTCATGGTCCTTAGGAAATGAGTACAAGACAACCTCTAAGATTATCAGGATTTGCTACTCATGTGTAGGGAGACAGCAGAGCTTTGCAGCCTCAGAGGCACAGCTTTGTCTTTCTCCCTCTGGGGACACCTGATGTCTGGAGACTGAATCGGACTTTCCCTTTAGTCATTGTTCCATGAATCCTAAAACTCTACCCTTTTCAAAATGCACTCCTGGATCCCAAAGGTTCCAGGGACCACAGTTTGGGAAACACAGCAATGAAAGTTCAGTGTGGTCCCAAAAGCATAGAAACCATGTAGCTACTCCATTCCAAGGAAGTCATACAAAGGATCTAGAGTATGAGTTCAGATTTATCACACACATGAAAACAGTTAAGATGAATTAAAACAGAACACAGGGAAGTGGCTACATGTACCACTGAGGCTACATGCGCAGAGGAGTGGGAAAAATCCTTGCATGGGGAGAAAGGAGCCAGCAGTTCTCAGCTGTGTACCTCTCCATCCTGACTTCTGTCAT